TCAAGTAGACCTTTATGCACACTCGGCTGATGAGGACCATTAAATTTTATAGGGGACAATAATCGTTTGCTTAAATGTGAGGGGTGACTATGAACGGGGATTCGTCTATCGGGAGATTCAGCCTGCAGGAAGTTAAGTTTCTTTTATTGGGTGGCAGTTTTAATAAGGACCATTAGTCCGGCATCAACAATGAAATATTAGGATTGCGTTCTGCCTGATACAGACACTGTTAAATCTGCAAGAGAATCTATCTATCTGTATACCTATTTATCTATTAATCTGCGATCATAATCTACTATTAATCTATCTCGATCATTTCATATCTATCTATCGATCGATCGATCAACTTCAGCCTGTTTCTATCTATCTATCTGATTCTGTTCATATCTATCTACCAATATATATATATGATTCTGTTCATATCTATCTGATTCTGTTTATATCTATCAAACTATCCATCTGATTCTGTTCATATCTATCTATCTATCTATCTATCTATCTATTGTGGAGTATTTCCACAGAGGAGGCTTGTATTTCTAATAAGTCGTACAAAACGTTAGGAACTTGGAAAAATAATAGTCAATGACGCAGCAAATCTAGTTGTGATGGTTGGTACTTCAAATGTCCGAATCTCGACTGACGCGCTCAACACCATCCTGCCAGACTTGCCACTGCTACTCCTACTTATTATCTATGGGAGAGTCCATTACCAAAGAATAGGTACTATGGCACAACACTGTCTATCTATCTAATTCTGTTCATATCTATCTATCTATCTATCTATCTATCTATCTATCTATCACCATCTTTCCCTTGCCTATATATTTATTTATCTATCTTAGTGTGGCTATCTATCTATCTATCTATCTATCTATCTATCTATCTATCTATCTATCTATCTATCTCCATCTTTCCCTTGCCTATATATTTATTTATCTATCTTAGTGTAAACATCTATCTATCTATCTATCTATCTATCTATCTATCTGTGTTTCCATCTGTCTGATTCTGTTTCTATCTATCTATCTATCTATCTATCTATCTATCTATCTATCTATCTGATTCTGTTCAGATCTGTCTATCAATCCATCTATCTATCGATCTCATAATTTGATATATCTCTGTCTGTCTGTCTCTTTCATTCTCTCTCTCTCTCGCGCTCTTTCTCTCTATCGCTCTCTCTCTCTCTCTCTATATATATATATATATATATATATATATGTATGTTGTATTTATGTGTGTGTGTGTTTGTGTGTGTGTATTGAGGTCAACACCGAACATCGAAAGAAGTCGGTTTCAAGCTTAAACGCAACATTCTGGTCTGAAGATCGCGTTCAAGCATGTTACAGACTGTTGCTAATTGATGTTGACCGCAGTGTCCATTTTTATATTCACATACTGATAATTATCACATTATATTATCACTGATAATGAGCAATTTGACCCACATATATATAGCCTACCTTTAAACTATATTTAACTTATTTAGCATTTAGAGATATAAAAACATTGGCATTATCTATCAAATATAGTTTCATGGTCACTGAAGGCATTAAACTTCACATCATCATGCAGTTTGGATTTATATGCCAGTATTGTTTTTCTATCCCAGTCTATTCCTCTCTCTCTCTCTCTCTCTCTCTATATATATATATATATATATATATATATATATATATATATATATATATATATATATACATGTTATTCGCAGGCAGTACTGTTTCACTGTATCACAGCTCTTCAGAGCGACTAGACATCCGAATGCCTCAAGCTAGGATTGAAACACAACAAATTTGGTGTCAGTCAGAGCTTCTTCTACTGAGATATCTTCATTCGGCAGAGTGAAACAGCTAAATCAAGCGTATTGCTTTTGCGAATGTAAACAAATACTAATGAGCCGGAGTGCTCTATTCATTTTACTGAAAAGCTTTGCATTAAGGCGGGTGGCTGTTGTTTATAGAATCAGCTTATTACTCAAGAGTGCTCAAATGAAATATATAATAGCTAAATCGATTACAGCAATTTCGATACACTTCCGTATATATATAAGAAAAATATACAGAAAAAACAGTATATATTCCTGTATATTTTTCTTCATACTGTCGGATCTATATCCATATATTTGCTTACATATATATATATATATATATATATATATATATATATATATATATATATATATATATATAAAGGAAGTTTAATGAAAGTGTTTTAATCGCTAGATCATTTACAGTAAATTTACATCCAGTTTCCCATAAAATTTTACCTTTTTTAGCAGATCGTCTATTATAACAATGTGGGTATATTACATTTAAGAAAAACACTGAGGAAAAAATAAACAAAAGAGAAAGAAACTAGATGAGGCCAGGTAGGCGATATAACCAAAGCACATAATTAAAAAAAATATATATTTAAACTGATTTTTTTAAACTGTCTCATAGATTATGCTAAATTGTTCTTGATATATAGACATTTAA